ATCTATCCTAGATGAGCTCATTCCCATCGCCATTGAGATGGAAAAGAAGAACCTCACCGGAATCTAGAATTTTATAAACCTTAGAGTAATCAGTCACAATGAGGTCTTGGAAATGTACTGGGACTACGTTGACCCAAACTTTGCATGGAAGTACTTTACCATAGATGAGTAGGACAAGATTCTTGCTGCCCCAAGGTGCAATGATGAAATGGATGTCACCAAGCTGAAAAGAGAATTTCCTTATCTCTTTTCTACAAAGGAATCGCTTATCAAGTATGTTTTCAAGCCAAATTGCATGATGCTTACTTAATTTGCTCTTATGCTGTTTTTTCGACTTTCTACCATTTTATTTATTTTAATCTATGTTTGGATTGTGTTACATCAAAATTAAGTCCTAGTAGAATTAAGACATGAGGAAACAAGATAATTCTATCAGGCTCATTTATCTTACAAACAATAAAATACCAAGTTTTTATTGAATAAAAATGTAAATTAGGAAAATTTTGTGTTGTATATCATAAATATCCCCAACCTAGAGGGGATTTTCAATTAATGAACTACAGTTAAATAAGATTCAATATTTATGTATTACATGTGTATTACACAAAATTCCTTTAATATTTATTTCTAACATTAATAAGAAAAATTGATATACTTTTTAAGATATAGTTCAAATTAAGCAATTTAAATCCTTATATCTTACAACTAAATTTTGAATTAAAAATATCTTTCAAACAAAACATTTAAATTATGTTGTTAAAAATTGAAAACCCTTAAACTCACACACGGTGACTATTGATAATTGCAAAATAAATTATTAGAAGAATGTATGTTGGAAGGATTGAGAAAAAGAGTGAGTTTAAACAAGCGGCACTTGACTCGTCATTTTCTTGACTTTTTTTCTTCTTTTTTTTTTTTTTGTTAAGTTAGTAAATTAATTTTGCTTCCATCTCTTAATTTTTATTTAGGAGTTTTTAAATATTTAAAACTTTAACATTTCATGTTAAGTCAATAAATACAATTATCAGGGAATTTATATTTCTCTATTACACTTGACATTTAAAAAAAAATTAATAAATTAATGTTATCCGTCTATATCTATCACTTTCATTTGTCGTATATTACTATCATTTTCAATATTTTTAAGTTACTAAACTAATATTCTTTCTTCATCCACCACTTAATGTTGCATCTTCATCTACAACTTTTATTTATTATTTATTTTTATCATTTTTAATTTTTCTCACACCATTTACTTTTTTCTTTTTCTTTTTTTATTAGATTGAATTTATTATATGTATATCCTAATTAATACATGAAGTAACATTTTATATAATATATAAATATAGATATTTGATCAAATAATAATTACGATAATACTAAGATTATAACATCAATTTCTAATTTTATATAATATTAAATGAATATAATATGATATTAATATTAAAAAATATATAAATATAATATTATAAATAAAATTTTAAATAAAAAATTAATTATTTAATAATATATAATATTATAAACTTATAATATCATATAATATTATAATTATAATATTTTTCCAGTAATTACTGCTTTAGCCAATTATGACCCTCGATTGTTCGCTTTGAAGGATAGTTGGCTTTGTTTTGAAGTCTGAACCTTATCCCATGCTTTCTATACTACAAGAGTTCAAGAAATGAAAGTTCACCCTCATGCTTCTGCAGTTCTATAAATATGAACAATGCTCCTAGGCCCTAGGGTGGAATTTTCCCCCACATCTTTCCGGCTCCCACAGGGATCCCGCTATGGACAAGGACAGGAGCACTTTCCCCATTTAAAATTTTTAAGAAATTTTTTCTGCGAGGTAGGTTCCTGTTTCTCTCATAAGATTAAAAGAATTATTAAAACAGATTAAGTATTTTAACTTAAAGTCATAAATTATATTCATTACTTATTTTTAATTTTAGTATAACTAAATTTAACTTAATAGTATCTAGCATTATGTGATTTAGTGGCCATAACTTACATGAAACGTGTTATGACATATAAATTTTGAGTTCTACACTCGAGCACTACTTCTTTTATCCCCATAATTTCCCTTAATTCAAAAAAAAAAAAAAAACTAACCTAATATTTTTCTTAAACTTAACTCAATTTTTTAAGATATTTTATTTTAAAATAATTAAATTAATTTTATAATATAAATTGAAGAAGGGTGGAGAATTCCAAGAAGTAATAGGGATAAAGTCTTTATGTGCTAGCTAAGAAAGGGATTCATGCCTCTTATTGGTTTTCATATTTTCTATGATTGTCCACCTAATGTGGACCTTTTGTGTACTGCTGATTCTGTGGGGGGTTATTTACTTCAGCTCTAAGTATTTATAATATGCTTCTCCACTATTATCATTATATATATGTATATAGGGATAGAGGCTTTTATCAAAAACAAATAGGGATAGAGGCAAATTATATCGCTGTTAATCCGTTGCCATCCCTAAATGTTACATGGATTTTTAACCGTAATGTTTTGTATAATATAATAAAATAACATTAAATGAGTTTCAAAATATATTAACTTCTAAGTGCTTTTTATAACATGTTAAGACGTTTAAGTTTTTCAAAATAAATATTGTATAATAAAAGTATAGTGTGTTTTATAAATTTATTTAAATATTTTTAATAAAATAATATAAAAATAGTTTTATTAAAAGTATTTAAATAAAATTATAATACATATTATACTTTTAATGTATAATTTATATATCTTATAAAATATTTTTTTAATATATTAATAATAACATAACTCATCATACACTATACTAATCATTATACCGTCTATCATTTTTCTTATAAATTGTGGTAAAATTCTTCTGTCCTTTGTGGTCAAATCAAATACTCCTAGTAAAGGCGGAAATATATGAGAGTAACAGTAGTTATATACCAAAAATTCAACAAATCTTATTTTTCTTTGGGCAGGAATAATATTTCAAAAAGCTGGGTCAATATTTGGGAAAAAAAAAAAGGCCTGGGTCAATAATGCAAGTGCATGATTGCAAGATTAGGTATTGAATACGTATATGTCTCTAAAAAAAATATTTCTTAACCATATTTATAGATAGTAAAATTTTATAATGTGACATAATTTTATTAAATTTTTTAATTTAAATGAGATGTATGAAGTAGGATATAAATAAATATATATATATTCTCCTTTAAAGTCATAAATATATATCTATTGTAAAATTTATAATAAAATTTTCATTCTAAAAAACTTAAAACTGTTATTTTCTTTGTCTTAAAATAATAAATATGTTTTTAATTTTATCTTTTGATTAAAGGTTTAAAAACAATTTTTATTTTATCTATTTTATATTTAAAAAATAAAAAGAAAAAATTTTATATAATAATATAAATGATTAAAATTAAGAAATAATCATATGATTACTAAAAAAAAGATAATCAAATGGTTAAAGTCAAAAAATTATTTTTTTAAAAATATAAAGGAATTATTATTATTTTAAAACAAAATTTAAATTTAAATAACTCTATTATTTCAAAACATTCAATAATTTTGTGCTAATCAAGTCAAAAGCTCGAGGGTTGAAACTTGGAAGGACGAATTATAAAAGGTTATTTATGTTAGTCCCACAAAATATTCTTTGATTTGGACTTTAATTAAGGATTTTTGTTTTTTCTAAGGAAAATGATTTTGAAATAATTTTTTATATTATTTTTTTAATATCATTTAAATAATTAATTTTTTTATTTATATAAAATTTATAATATTAAATATATTTATTCATTTAATAATATATAAAAATTATATTAAAAAATAAAATAAAAAAATTATACTTATAGCACCACCATTTTCTTAAATTCCCTTATCACACTCACACCATTGAATAATGCTATCACCATGCGTGCATGACCGAATACTTTTTTCTGTTTCCATCTATATTTATCCAAACTTTGTATGAGTTAGTTGAGGATCATTAATTCTAAGTTGATTTCAAAATTCCTTTTATTAATTTTTCTTTGAACTAAAGCTTAAGAAATTCCTTTTATTAAACGAGTTTCATTTCTTCGCCAAATTAATGAATCCATGATTTCAAAATCATACATTGTCAAAACATCGGACTAACCATAAAAAGATAATTACTCATAGTTTCTTACTCAATTATAAATTTTTTTTTTTCAGTGTTCATTCTTTATATAACTTAAATAATAATTACTTCTTATTTAATTTAAAAAAATAGAAAAGAAGAAAGTAAAAACAATATATTCTTTAATTTTTCTCTTTTTGTTTTTTTTTTTTTTGAACAGATTTTACAAGGAGTTGGGTTCGAATTCCAACCCTGCGGAAGGAGAGAATGCACCATAAATGGTTATTGCCACTTGGACCAAAGGGATCGGTGCTCCTCTTTTTGTTTGAATAGGTTAACAAATAAAAATAAATAAATAAATAAATAAATAAAATGAAACCCTTCATTCACTTCTAACTTTTTTTATTATTCAAATAAAAAATTTCTTTCTCTCTCTTGGCTACCCTCCCATTAAACCAAACATACTTCTCATACCAATTCATGTAAATATGAATTTGAAAGCAAGGAAATAAATTGAATTTTTAATGTTTTTATTTATTAGCTTCACCATTTTTATTTATTGGTAAGAAAAATTTGTAAATTAAAAAATAACTACTAGAAAATGGAAATCAAGCTGGAGCGAAAAAAAAAAAGAAAAATAAATAAAAAAAAGACACACATGCAACCAAATAATGATTTCATAGCGAATCTGACATGGCAAGGTGGACCCACAGACTCCACATCCCAACACTTTGACCGAAATTAGTTGGTTTTCCGAAATTACCCCTAAACAATAAGTCACGTCACTTTCCGCGATATAGCGCGAACCCGTTTTGACTGCGTTTGGGCAACGGGCAGCACCGTTCGGGTAACTCTCCCCTGCACGCTTTAGGAAAAAAAAAATGAAAGTATAAACAATCCTTTTCCTTTCTCACAAACACACACTCACACTAACTTAGGAAAGAGAAAGTCTTGAGCTCAAGAGGGAAGTTCATTTCTTTGTTTAATTTAATTAAAAATTTTTGTTTTGTTTTTTTTTTTTTTTTTTTTTTACAGTTGCCCAAAAGCTAAAAAAATTTCCCAAAAGAAATTTGAGTTTTTTGATTGATTTTGTTCTTGGGTTTTTTAGTTTTTAGGTGTTGGCTTTTTTGGGCATGCTTTTTGGTTTTCTGCACGTTAATGAGATGAGATCAAAGGGTTTTGATTTGAGGAGCTCTCTGGGTGGTAATGGTGGGATTTGGGAGCTAGGGTTTTAAAGCGTGTGGTGATGGTGGGTTGGAGTCTGCTGTATTGCTTGGATCTGAGGGTGTTTAGATTGAGATTGAGATTGAGATTGAGATTGAGAAGCTTGGCAGTGTGAAATTTCAGGGTGAGTGTCAGAATGGGGAGGGAGAGCATGGGTGGAGCTTTGTTTTTCATGGGCTTGATCTTGCTGGTGCATCCATTATGGCTTGTCTCTGCTAACGTGGAAGGTGAGTGTGTTTGTGTTTCTTTTGGTGTTTGTATCTGTTTCTCGCAATTCCTTTCTGTTCTGTTTTTTCACCGTTTTAAGAGTTTGATCCCTTTTTTACAACATGTGTTGACTTTTGTACATGGGGTTTTATTCTTTGAGGATGGTATGGTTTCATTCCAATCAGCAGTTTAGCTTTTTGCTTGTAGTGGGTATTTAACTATTTATTTGTGATGATATCACTGGATTATTCCTCTTCATCTCTTTATTTTGTTTCTAAGAGTTTAAAGTTCAAAGTTTGAAGTGCATAATTTGATGATATGGGTATCGATCCTTTTAAGCAGAGGTTATAGAATTTATGACATTCTTTGGAATGGGTTTATGAATTCTTTTGGAACATATCTTAGGGAAAATGCTGTTTAAAGAATGACCTTTATCTAATGCCCAGATTGTGACTCTTTGTGCCTCTTCCTGCCAACTGAACTGACTTTTAGACGCGTAAAAGTTCCGACTTTTAGACGCCTAAAAGTTCCGACTTTTAGACGCCTAAAAGTTCCGACTTTGATTTAATTGCTGTTACCATTTGTTGTATCCTACTTTGAAAGGAATTTCTAATTAGATTTGATACCATTTACTGTAAACCTTAGAAATTTTAGTCTCTGCAATTTTTTGATGATCAAGCAAGTTGCTTCAAGCAATGATGCATTCTCTTGTTTGGTGGATTGCTGGTAGTTGTGGTCCTTGTGGTTATGGGAACCTGTAGTTACTTCTGCTCTCATATGCGTTCAACCTTCTTGCTAATATTTTAATTGCTTAGTCATTTTGTCCACACCTTGAAACAGGTGACGCATTGCATAGCCTGAGGACCAACTTAAATGATCCTAACAATGTCCTGCAGAGCTGGGATCCTACCCTTGTCAACCCATGCACATGGTTTCATGTTACATGTAACAATGATAATAGTGTAATTCGAGTGTAGGTTTTCTTTCCCTTAATTGTCTTCAGAGTGTCTGGTTACAACTCAACATTTTAAGCTTGTTTCTTTACTGAATTTGCATTATATTTCCTGTGTGATGGCTATTTTTGTGTTATTTTTCAGTGATCTTGGAAATGCAGCTTTATCTGGGCAACTAGTTCCACAGCTGGGACTCCTTAAGAATTTGCAGTACTTGTGAGTCCAGCCTTGCCGTGAAATATTAGCATTTTCATTTCTTTGTTCCTGCAGTTTATAACATTCCAAATGTAGAAAGGTAGTCAGTGGTTTGGAAGGAATGTTGTCTTCTTCTTCTTCTTCTTCTTCTTCTTCTTTCCTTTTCTTTTCTTTTCTTTTTTCTTGCCAAAGGTGAACATAAAGGAGCTAGAGGGTTGTCAAATTCTGTTCGCTAAAATGTGATTGTGTAGTTGTCAAAACAAGAAAGTGAGCCAAACTACAGGACTCATTTGGTTGATATAGAGGATCATGCTCATATGTTCCATGGAGCAAGGTCACATATAGGTTGTCAAATGTTTCTCATTTCTTGTCTATCTACTACTGGAGTTTTCCTATTCAATATGATGAAGGGCATTCATATCTTTCAAATGATGGTTTCTGAAAGCAGCTTATTTATTCAAGTTTGTTTGACTTTTGCAGCTGTATTCATTCAAGTAATCCATAGTCTAGTCTTATGAGTTATTGTTGACATGTATCCCTTTAGCTTTCTTTGACATTCCTTAAGCTGTAATTTTAATGACAGGGAGCTCTACAGTAACAATATAAGTGGACCAATTCCCAGTGATCTTGGAAATTTGACGAGCTTGGTTAGCTTGGATCTTTATTTGAATAGTTTTACTGGTCCTATTCCAGAGCCGTTGGGCAAGCTGTCTAAGTTGCGGTTCCTGTAAGTACATTTACAATGTGCTTTTTATCTTTGTTATTGGTGTATTGCATGGGTATGCTTAGAACTGTGTACTTGATGCACATTGTAAAATACACTTGTTCTATAGCAAATTTAAGGAAACATAGAGAAGTAATTGAAGGAGCTTCAAGTTCAGCCTTTTAATGCATTCAACATCTGTTACATTTCTTACACACTCTTGTCTCTCTCACACAAAAAACACCTTGGTTGGTTTAGTTCTTAACATTTCTCATTATCAAAATGTTTGTGCAAGGATAGTCGGCTTAACAACAACAGCTTGACGGGTCCCATTCCAAAGTCATTGATCAATATCTCCTCACTTCAAGTATTGTGAGTACAAACCTAACCTACTAATTTATTGCTTCTTCTAACAAGCTATCCCTTATTGTTTCTTTTCTATGATATCACTTGAATTCAACTCGTATTCTTGAATTGCATTGTGATATGCAGGGATCTGTCTAACAATCATCTTTCTGGAGAGGTTCCAGACACTGGCTCCTTTTCACTGTTCACTCCCATCAGGTTATTTCTTGTTATTTGAATGATTCATATCTTGATTGACTGATTTTGTGTGCCATTCTCACCGTTTGTTGTTTCTTATGCAGTTTTGCTAACAACCCGGAGTTATGTGGTCCTGTTACTGGGCGCCCTTGCCCAGGATCTCCTCCATTTTCTCCTCCTCCTCCATTTGTTCCACCAACCCCAATTTCTTCACCAGGTGATCTTTCTAATGTCACTGTTTTGAACTTAAGTTGTAAATGCTTATATTTTTTCTGTACTCCCTGTGGTATACATCCTTGAGCATGATTTGTCAGACCTTTTACCATTATGTTGGCCTGATAATTGATTTACCATTGACATATGGTGTTCAGATTATTTCTTTGAAGGAGATGACATTCAAAATTTTGCTTGCTAATTTTTCCATTATATCAAATTTAGGTGGAGTTGGTGCCACTGGTGCTATTGCTGGAGGAGTTGCTGCTGGTGCTGCCTTGCTTTTTGCTGCCCCAGCAATTGCATTTGCATGGTGGCGTCGGAGGAAACCTCAAGAATTTTTCTTTGATGTTCCTGGTTAGTTTGCTTATTCAAATTCTCTGGGTTCAAAGTTCATCAAAATTCAGAAATTACCATCATCATGTGTTTCCATCTCTATGCAGCTGAGGAGGATCCAGAAGTCCATCTGGGGCAGCTTAAAAGGTTTTCACTGCGAGAATTACAAGTTGCCACTGATAGTTTTAGCAATAAAAACATTCTGGGGAGGGGTGGATTTGGTAAGGTTTACAAAGGACGCTTAGCAGATGGTTCCCTGGTGGCTGTAAAAAGACTAAAAGAAGAGCGCACACCTGGTGGTGAGTTGCAGTTTCAAACAGAAGTGGAGATGATCAGCATGGCTGTGCACCGGAATCTCCTTAGGCTGCGTGGTTTTTGTATGACCCCAACAGAACGACTACTTGTATACCCCTATATGGCTAATGGAAGTGTTGCATCTTGTTTAAGAGGTAAATCTCCATGATAGATTGTTACTGTTATTGTTTTTATCATTTGCTGAATTTTTTCTTGTAAGGAACTTTCCCCATAAACCAACTGTTCTCCATATTTAGTCATCCCATTATGTTGTTCTGATTAAATATTCTTGTAGAGCGTCCTCCATCACAACCACCTCTTGATTGGCCAACTAGGAAGCGAATTGCATTGGGATCTGCACGTGGTCTATCATATTTGCATGATCATTGTGACCCGAAGATTATTCACCGTGATGTGAAAGCAGCAAATATTTTGTTGGATGAGGAGTTTGAAGCTGTTGTTGGAGACTTTGGGTTGGCCAAACTAATGGACTACAAGGATACTCATGTAACTACAGCTGTACGAGGCACAATTGGACATATTGCTCCAGAGTACCTCTCGACTGGGAAATCGTCTGAGAAAACTGATGTTTTTGGATATGGGATCATGCTTCTAGAGCTAATTACTGGGCAGCGGGCCTTCGATCTTGCTCGGCTTGCAAATGATGATGATGTCATGTTGCTTGATTGGGTATATGCTTCTGATGCTTTCTTTTCCCATTTCATCTGAAACATGTTCTGATTCTGCTTCAAGATCTAGTTATGCCATAGGGTAAAGTGGGTAGGGAAATCTCAGTTTTGAAGAATATTAGCATTGTTGAATAGGATAAGACCTGCCAAGCCTGCTTACTTGTACTCAAAGGGAATGAACCTTGTTGAAAAAAAAAAAA